ACACACACACACACACACACACACACACACACACACACACACACGAGCCTTACAGTCCTAACTCAATAATGTGTGCCTGTACACAGGCTCTAACACACACGAGCCTTACAGTCCTAACTCAATAATGTGTGCCTGTACACAGACTCTAACACACATGAGCCTTACAGTCTTAACTCTTTTCAAAATGTAGTTGAGTTACTCTTTTGACTCTCCTAGACCTTTGTGTGTGTGGAGGGGGCAACCAAGTCAAAACTGTACTCATAGTAATACAAAAAACGTAATTTGCCTTTTCCATTTAGTCCATTACAGTGGAGTTTTCCAGAAGTCAGATGATATGACATTATTACCCCGACAGCTAATGGAATGTAAGCTTAATTTCACATGGGAATATTAATGGATATCATCCCCATAAACAGCAGCTCTTTGGGGTCCTTTATAATCGAAAAACACATATGAGGAACCTGGGAGCAAAGTGTTTGCAAACCGCTAGTTTAACCTGATGTTTATTTTCACTATACATAAAGGAACTACTGTTCCCGTGTTAGTTACCTTTGGTGAATATTGGATATAGACATTATTTTCAATTACTGTTTAGTACTGATGGCCCATGCTGATGGTGTAAGAGATATAGGAATGAGTTGATCTGCTGCAGTTTTGACTGTGCTATTTGTTGTGTAATGGCAAACAAGATATTTGAGTGTCTCATCTTTAGTCTCCATCTATAGAAAATATATTGTTATAAGTTGTAAGAAGCAAGGCTATGTGTAAAAATAGTGTGATTTACAGAAGTGCTGGGAATGTATCAAATGATACTTTTGTATTCTTTTGAATACTTTTGTTGGAGGTCCATGGTCTAGAGGAATAGGAGTGTAGATTTACAAACCTTTTTGCTTTGTAAAAGCTGAAAGTTTTAGACCATAAATTTTATAGGGGACACATGTATACAGGGTTCGATGTATGAAGGTCAGATGATTACCTGTGGAGTTCTACTGTGTGGGTCCCAGAGATTGAACTTGGGTCACCAAGCTTGGCAGCAAGTGCCTTTTCCTGGTACGCCGTCTTACCGGCTTTGGTTGATTGATTTACTGCTTTTTGTGTTAGTGGTTGGGAATGGAGCATAGAGCCTTGCCCATGCTAGGTAAGCATTTACCACTGAGCTATGTTCCCGGGGCTAAACGTAGTTTTGACTATCTTTCTGTAGAATTAAGAGTTTGAAAAATAAAACTGCTCCTAGGTAGAGGATATGATTATTGAGGGAAGGACTTAAGACAGCATTTGTTGTTCTTGAAGTATAGACTTGGCCATCAGTAGTACACACCAAGAAGGTTCATGAATAAAACAATCCTCTGTAGGTTTCCTTAAGTCAATTTTAAAAATGTAAATGTAGTTTTAAAATTTAATGGCTAGGAATACTAAAATGTCAAGGCATACTGGCTATTGTTGATTTGTTTTCTTGCAATTGTTAGATGATACTTACCATGCAAGGTACCGTTTTAAAACAATTAATTATGGGTGCTGAAATCAGGGTTATCTAAAAATCTAAAGTTGAGGGAAGAGAACTAGCCATGATTGTAAAATCTTGAGTATATGGTAAAGTTCTGAAATGCTTTATTGTGGAGGAGAATAAGTTTGCTCCCTGACATGTCTGTAGAAGAGCAGCCTTAATGTAGGTGCATACAAAGTTTGATAGGAGGTATTTCTAGAGCATATCACTGTGTCACGTGTTTTGTTTTTTTCTTTAGTAATTTACTTATTTTATTTTATATACATTGGTGTTTGCCTGTAAGTATGTCTG